AGAAGTGCCCACCAATCACAAGCAATGCAGTTATTAATCAGAGGAATGCAAGCACTTTGGTCCTCAGCCCTTTAGTCTCCTAGGAAAACATGGGCGCCAGCAGTGCAGGCATAAGATGGGCCTTGTATGCAGTCTGGACTCCAGAACTCAGGGTCTTTGTCCTCCTACCTGATTGCTGTTGTAGGGCAGATTCACAGGGACCCAATGAGGGAGGGATATTAGGGACAATCAATCAGTGAGTGGCCAGGACCACAATGCCCCTTAGCAACCCCAGGGACATTGGGATTAACAACATTTGCTAACCTTGAGTAAGGGATTAGATGATGTTTGCTAAATTGCTTACAATTAAGAGAGTCTAAATGAAGCTGGTTCAAACTAGGGGTGTCAAACTCAAATGGAAATGAATTTATGCCCCATTTTGACTTAGAAAACCACAGATTAACATCATCTATGTTATATGTATTTTTATTTTTTTCTTAAACATTTTCCAATTACATTTTAATCTGGTTCCTCTACTCCAGGGTGGATGAGTCTGATACCTCTGGCTTAAATCAGCTACTAGGTACAAAGGAACTTCTCAGAACATAGGCAGGTGAATCAGTGGTCAAATATGGCATCAGCTAAGCCTAGCAACAAGCCAATTTTCACAGTATCTTAAGAGCAATTGATACAAACCTCCTCCTCGTCCCCTCCAAAATGTCCACAGCACACTCTCCCACAAGCATCCACAGAATCAGTGGGAACGTGGGCTCAGCTTTAGAGAACACATATAGCAAAGGGGTAACTCTGGGAGTCCTTTCCCTGGATCTTCAAGATGGTCCCTCTCAGGTGTGGTGCAGTTTGTCTGCGGAGCTCTGGGTAGCACCTTGAATTGGTATCCACCCTGCCTTTGGTGCCTGATGCAGACTCAGCCATCATTTGATCCAAGGATGCTGCGAGGATGCCATGGGAAGTTGGGAAGTTCTCCAGATTTCCAAAATCCCTGAAGTTCTCCTCTGGTAAAGCAGGGGTAGGTGACGCTGAGAGAGAGAGGCCAAGGCTTGGAGCTCTGCTCCTCCTCTGCAGCCAATTCTTCCTCAGGAATTTAGCTGCCCCCTCAGTGGTCCACTCCTGATTCTCTGGACTTTTCTATCTCAACCCCGGCAGGCTACTCATCCTGGAGATGCCTCTGCCCTGGTAGCCCCCTTCTCCTATTAGTGAGTTCTTGATTACAACCACCACTTAAGTTAGTGCATGGGCCATCCATGCTCACTTCTCTCCTGGCTCATTTCCTAACCCTCCAGACTTTTCTACCTTACCTCTACATAGGTTATGCATGATTTTACTGGAACAGAAACTCCTTGAGGGTAGCCTCTCTCTCTCTCTCTCTCTCTCTCTCTCTCTCTCTCTCTCTTCTCTCTCTCTCTCTCTCTCCAGTGCTTGGTACATAATAGGGATTCAAAAAATATTTTATCTGTGTCCCCAGGTTCTGAACCGGTTTTACGTATGCCTCACAGGATATGGCAGAGTTTCTTCAGCCAGTAAGAACACTTTCTGTGCATATTACTCAAGTTAATCAAGGACTCTTTCATCACTTAGTCTAACTGGTTGGTTGATTGAGACGTGTTCTCAACTGGCTGAGGTGCAGAGTTGAGGAAAATTAATATTATGCTGTATTATTTAATTATTTAATAATCAATATCACTTTCTGATCCATCTTTTTTCTTATTTTGTCAGACCCCACTTCAGAAGGTCACAATTAAAGCAACGTGATCAATCCCAGCCCTCAAGGCATCTGCTCTGAACTAGCTTGGGCTGGGCCCCTCCCAACCAGGATCCTGGATTCTATTTACCCATAAACAGAAGCCTGCTAGAGCTAGGCTCTCTCCAGGGCATATGTCCCTTGTCCTTGCCTTTCCTCCATCAAAGATGGGGGTGATCTGGTCTACTAGAGGGAGACCAAGCTGGGGAGATCCTGATTTGTTTTTTTTTTCCTAGCCAAGATTGCTAGGGACAGCTGGGTCTCATAAAGCAGCTAGCATTCCTTAAGTATCAAAGAGGGACATAATCTGCCACATCCAGTCCTGCCCACTTTCCCCAGCTGCAAACTAATTTTATCACTTGAGGACTGGTCCTCTTCCCCCTACCACCCCCTTACCCCTCCATCCCACCCACCACAAAAGCAATGAAGTAATAGGGAGGAGCTGAGAACTATTAACCCACCACCTCATTAAAATGTCCACCAAACAATATTAGCTTGCCTTTACCCAGGAAGGTTCAAATGATGTACTATCATGCCAATCAGAAGGAAGATACATCTAGGTTTATAAACCCTGTTGTCACTGCTTGGGGTCTTTGGCACAAATGGAGGCAGGCCAGAGATTCCATTTATTAATAGGGTCTGTCCCCTATTAATAAACTGTTATATTGCTTGGAGAATTGCCTCAGTTTTTTATCACTTACTATAAGTGAGGTAGGGTGGTTTGATTGGTTTACTCAGTCATCCCCCTCCTTTTAGGAACAGACGATTGCCTTTCTCTAGAACACTTCTCATTTCTACCCCGTAAAACCCCTAGCTTTCTTCAAAGTTGACTGCTATGTCCTCCATAAGGCTCTTTCTGACCCCATGCTCCTGGGATTCCTAGGACTCTTTCTCTCTCTCTCTCTCTCTTCTCTCTCTCTCTCTCTCTCTCTCTCTCTCTCTCTCTCTCTCTCTCGCCATTATTTTGTACATACTTTGCATACATGTATATGCGCCATGTTGTATCCTATCCCCAGGGGAACATAAGTTCTGTGAGGGCAGGGGGTTGTTCATTTTTCTCTTTGTATCTCCATGGCTTATCACAGTTCCTGCCACATAGGAAGACAGGGACCAAACCTATGATTTCATTGGCATAGGGAACTCCCATTTGAGTAAACTGCCTCTACCCATGCGGGTTGATGTCTTTTCTACAATTAACAGTCTTAGAGAGTTTAGAACACAAAGAACCACGCAACTGGTATACACCCAAGGTGGATCTATCCACTAGACCACACTGCCTCTCATAGAGCTTAATAAACTTTTGTTGAAGTGAAGCATCAGAGAGGAACAAAACAAAGTCCTGTGTGATATCTGTTGTTCAGCCATTTTTCAATCACATCCAACTCTTCACGACCCCACTTGGGGTTTTCTTGGCAAAGATACTGGAGTAGTTTGCCATTTCCTTCTCCAGTTCATTTTCCAGATGAAATTGAGGCATAGAGGGTTAAGTGACTTGCCCAGGGTCACACAGCTAGTAAGTGTCTGAGGCCACTCCAGGCCCAGAGCTCTATCCTCTTCACCACCTAGCTGCCCAGGACAAAAGTAGCTTTAGACACAAAGAAAGGCCCTATATGCCCCCAACACCTTTGTAATAGCACTTCTTGTCATAGAAAAAAAAAAAACCTGGGGTGAGGCAAGAAGATGTCTATTGATTGGGAAATGGCTAAATAAGTTGGTGTACCGGAATGTAATGGAATATTATTGTGCTGTGAGAAACTATGAATATGGGGAAGTATGAGAAGGCTTCTATGAACTGATACTGAGTGATGTAAGCAGAACCAGGAAAAAAAAAACCATATACCATAGTCATGGAAATGTGAAGGAAAAGAATTACAACATAACCAAAATTGAATGCTATGATATCATGATTGATTCTATTCCCAAAGAAGAGCTAGGAGGAGAGGCTTCCCTTCTCTTCTTTATAGAGGTGGGGTGCAAGGGGGCAGATTTTTTTTTTTATATTTTGGTCAGTTTTACAGATTTTTTTCTTTTCTATTCATTATTTTTAAGACATCACATTCTTGGAGAAGGGAAGAGGGATGAATTGGGGAATGTAGGTGATATAAAAACAAAAAATGCAGATAACATTTATTCTTTTTAGTAAAGAATAGAGCAGAGTCCACCAGTTAAGAGGGAGAGTTGGGGTGCTATTCCAGGCATAGAGAATACCACGAAACAAGACACAGAGGTAGAGAACAAGGGCATTTGGGAATAAACCAGTTTGGCTGGAGCTTAGCTCTGTGTTTAGGCAAATGATGTGCAGAGAAGGTAAGATGGTGCCAGATTGTGAACCTGTCTCAAGTTCCAGGCTGTCAGTGCCCTAGAGGTAATAGGGAGCTACTGAAAGATTTTGATCATAGGAGTGATACAACCAGATTTGTGGTTAGGAAAGATTTGTCTGGCAGAAGCGTGTAGGATAGGTTTGGAGGAAAAGACAAAGTTTGGTTTTGGACATGTTGAGTTTAAGATATTAATGGGTCATCTGATTTGAAGATGTCCAGTAGGAAGCTGTAAGCTTGCAGATCAGGAGGTTAGGACAGATAGTAGATTTGAGAATCATCAGCATAGAGATGGTAATTAAATCTCTGGGTACTGATGACATCACCAAGTGATGTAGCAGAGAGGGAGAACAGAAGAAGGATTCCGGGGGGAACCTGTGATTAGGGGGCACGACCTGGAGGAGGATGCAGCAAAGGAGACGGAGAAGGAGCGGTCAGAGAAGTAGGAGGAGAACCAGAGGGAAGGGGCAGTGCAGAAAGCCTAGCGGGAAGAGAGAATCAAGAGCAGAGAGTGATGGACAGCGTCCAAGGCTGCACAGCTCTGGGAAAAGGCCGCTGGACAGGGGCATTGAGAGATCACTGGGCACTCTGGATAGGGCAGTTTCGGGGACACCATGAGGTCAGAAGCCAGGCTGCAGAGAGTTGACAAAGCTGGCAGAAAGGAAGTGGAAGCAGCGAGTGTAAACTGCACAGCCGAGCCAGCAAGAGGTGCCGGGAAGCCCACGCTCCTGCCTCCAGGCACCACGCGTCCTCCCAGACCTGCTTCTGGTTTGTTTCTCGGCCCCGCCCTCCGGGGCCCTCCTTCTTCTGAGTCAGCTCCGCCTTCCCGAACACGAGCCCGGAGTGCACACGCGCGCTCGGGGCTCCGCTCTGCCCCCGGAAGGGTCCAAACAGGTGAGGGTGGCCGCCGGCCCCGCCCTCGGGACTACAATTCCCAGAGGGCCGCGCGCCGGGGCATGCGCATTGAGGACCCTGCGGAGAAGCGACGCTGGAGTTTCAGTGTGGCTGCTTCCCCTCCCTCTCTGTGTCGGTCCGGTCCCTCGGCCCTGCCTCGGAGCTGAGCCCAGCCTGGACCGGACCGGCCTGTGCTGCTGGCCAGGCCTCCTGAAGCCCAGTGGCCTCAAAGCAGCTTTGAGCCCCGGTAAGAAAGCGCCCGGCGCGGGAGGAAAAGGCCCTGTCCCGGGGCCGGGGGCGGGGTGGGGAGGGGGCAACAAGGGACAGAAGTGGGGAAGGAGGACGGGGCAGGGAAGGGGAGACCGTGTGGGGAAGGGGCAATGAGGGGAAGGGGGTGTGAGGGAGAGTATCGAGTGAGGACGGGGCAGCGAGGGGCGGGGGGCGTGAGCAGGAACACGGGGGAGAAGACTGGGGGAGGGGCAGCCAGGGGGAAGGTTGAGAGGGGGCGGGTGGGCGAAGGGACAGCGATGGAGGGGTGACTTGAAGAGGACTGCGAAGGGGCGGGGCAGTGGGGGAAGGGAACAGGGTGGGGAGGGGTACGTGAGGAAGGGGACTGGGGAGGGGGCGGGGCAGCGGGGGGGTGTCCTGAGGTTGGGGAGTGCCTGGGGCCGTGGGCTGGGACAGGGATTGGGGCTTGTCCAGTCGCCATCCAGGGGGACTAGGGATCCCCGAGATCGGGCTGCTGACCGGTGAGGGAGATTGACGGTCACCTCCTTGGGCTGATTGGGGTCAGAGTTCCTGGGTCACTGCCCGGCAGTTTTGGGATGCGGGAGGCTCGTGAGTCATCTCCGTTTTGTCTCCTCCCCAATTTCTTTTCCCTGGGGAGGGATTCTGATTTGGGGTCGAAAAGCTCTGGACTTGCTAAGGCTTCTGGAAATTTCAGTTTCTGGTTTTAAAGTTTCCCCTTTTTACTCCTCCTTTTTTGGTGGGAGTAGGCTAACTTCCATTGCAGAATCGTAGATTCGACTTCCTTAAGCTCAGAGAGCAAATGCTCGGCTCGGGGGAAGGCTGATTTTGCACATTTTCCAATACAACAGATACTTATTAAGCACCCAGGATGTGCTGCTGTCCTAGGCACTGGGAATACAAAGAAAACAATGAAACAGCCCTTGCCCTCAAGAAATTTACATTCTAGTGAGGCAAAGCAATGAAATATATTTAAGGAATAACTGCAGAGTAATTTGGGGGTCTAGCCAGGAACATACTGAGGGCTCCAGACTCTCCCAGACCGAGTTGACCTCAACACGGTGAGTATTCCCTCTTTGGCTCGTTACCTTCATCTTAAAATTTTTAACCAGGAGAGGTCTCCAGAATGAAGTTTAGAGATAGCCTACACCTGAGGTTCTCCAAATATGTCACTGGCTCCCCAGCTCCTGCTTAGGCACTCAGTGTCCTAGTGTAGTAGTGTAGAGAGCACTGGACCTGGAGTGAGACCCAAGTTCACATCTAGCTTCAGACACTAGCTATTCGACCCTGGGCAAGTCGATTAACCTCTGCCTTCTGCTATAAAAGAGGGATAATAATAGCACCTACCTCCCAGGATTATTATGAGGTTTAAATGAGATAATATTTGTAAAGCACGGTGCCTGGCACATTGTTAGCAATGAATAAATAAATGCGCTTTTCCTTCCCTTCCCTAAAAGCATGTTGGGTGTGGGGCAACTGCTATTTCACACAGAAGTTGTACAAGCTCAAAAGGACTTATAGAGCCCAAGAACAAATACACATAAAGCCCTCAGAGAGTCCATTAGATTTTCCCACCACCACCCTTACAGGCATACATTTTTTGGGGGGCGAAGAGGAACAGTCCTTCCCATCAGACCTGCACTGTCTGATCAACTCATGCAGGAAGCATTGGCAAGGTCCAGGTCTCCTGTACTCTTTCTTTAAGGAAAAATAACAGGGTGAGTCCATACTAATGCCACTGCTTGCCACCCAACTCTAGAATTCCTGGTGGCTTAAAATCGAGGACCTGAGCACCTTTCTTTGCTTTGCTGAGTGCTGTGCTCGTGATTCCCCCTTTTTCCCATCTGACTTGTGAGGAAAGGAGATTTGTTGTGGGTGCTCAGATCCAAGGGCTAGGATGGGAATTTGTAGTATTCCCTCAGTTTGTTGCTGAGAAGAGGGGAAGGGTCACTGTGCCTTGTATGTGAACCGCTGGACTTTGGAAACGAATCTGCCCGTGTTACTAGTACCACAGCTGCAGGGAGGCCATTCAGCAGCTGTGCTTTGCGTTTCCATCACTGCTGTTTTTCAATTAAAATCTGATCTCCCTTGTTGGTTGGCAGACAGACACAGATGGGCCTTGGAATTTGTGGGGCTGAGTCAGCAAGCCTTTGAGATTGGCCTGGTTTCTGTTGCTCATGTTTTATATCAAAATGCAAATCAAACCGAGAATTTCCCTTCCGTGTCTCCGGCATTGCTGGTGCCAGTTCTTCAGAGAGAACCGACGATTTAGAACAGATAGGACGCTTTAGCTTTTGATTTTGCCTTCCCAAAGTGGCTTTGACAAAGGAAATTGGGGGCATGTGGGGGGGCTGGGGGGTGGCTTTCTGCCAGGTGGCTGTGTTGTTGAACTGGTCTTTGAGGATTACCTTTACAGCTCTCCCCACTCGGAGATGGGCTCCCTCAAATGAGGGTCACTTGTCATGAAAGTCTAGAAGGGAAACTTGTTATTTTGATTTTTAAATGAATTTTTTTTGTCTTCTGGTAGCTTTGGTGCAGTCTAGAACAATCAAAGTATCTCTAAATGCTGGGCATTAGAGAAGAAGTCTCCTGAAGCCACTTGGTGAGGCCCAGAGGCTACATTGTTGGGTTTCCTTATATAATCATCCTGGTGACATGTTGTATCAAGTTGAGTTGCCTTTAATCTTACTGGGTCCTGCCCTGATTCCTAAGGTGGCACAGTATGTAAGAGCAAGGCTGAAGCCTGGTGGTTGTCCTGATGGTGAGACCTTGATTGAGGCACCAGGCTGTGAATCAGAGGACCCTAGGCTGTCCGTGGTTTAGATGAAAGTTCTTTTCTTCTCCATTAAAATCCTCTCTGATGCCTCCTAATGGCCCAGAGGCCACCCTGGGCTCTCAAAGACTCTGCTAACAGAAGACGAGCTTTTGAGTGTATCTGCCTAGACTGTACATCTGTTGTTCAGGGACCAGCCTAGCTATGTTGGGAGATCCTTATTGCCAGATTGACCCAAGAAGGTTGAATTTTTCTGTCCTGGCAACACTTGGAGACTGTCTGCTAAGTCATAGAGAGGTTGTGGCCTAGCATTGGCACCTGCACCCAAATCACACATCCCTGAGGTATTATTCTGAGTAAGGGGAAGATTGGGCTCCTGGTGCCATTTGGGGCCTTGTGTCACTTATGGCCCTAGTGACTGATGCGCAGGGTGCTTACTGATCCTTAGAGTGAAACAGAGAAGACTCGAGGTCGCTTAGGTCAAGAACACAGGACTGGGGGTTCCAGTTCAACTCTGCTACTAACCAGCTGTGTGACCTTGAAAAAGTCAATTCCCCTGGGCCTCAGTTTCCTTTTTTGTGAAGGGATGGCACTAGATGAGGGGTTCTTTCCTAGAAATCACAGACCCAGGGATCTGTGGATAGATTTTAGGGGATCAGTGGTCTTGAATGGGAAAATAATTACATCTTTATTTCAATATTATTGGTTTCCTTTGAAATCTCAGGTTTTCTTTCATGCATTTAAAAACCTTATTCTGAGAAGAGGTCCGTAGGCTTTATTGGCCTGCCAGAGGGGTCCATGACACAAAAGGGTTTTAAGAACTCCTGCCCCGAGATCATCTTGAAGGTTACTTGAAGCTCTGACAGTCTGTTTCTCTTTGCCTGATCTCCTGAGAACTCACTTGGTCTGCTGAGATCCCAGTCACAAATCACAACATGTAATTCTGACAGCCAAGTGTCCGGAAGATACAGCCCATGCTGAGCCCTCCCCTCTCAGGGGAAGGAGCCATGGAAAACAGACAAGCCTGTTAGTTTCACTCTTCAAGAATGCCAGGGTGGCACTAGCTAGATTCTTTTCTAGATCCTGTTGCTTGACACCAAGATTAAGCCCTTTCCTCCTGTTTTCCAGGATCATTTGCTTGGCATAGGCAGCTGGCCCATCTTCTCAGCAATGTTCAGCTATCTGATTTAAGTCATTGGCATGCCTTCTGGAGCTGCTGTGTGAATGAAGGTTCTGAGTAAATTCTGGCAAATCTGTTTCCAGTGCCATTACTGTGGGGCTAACACATACATCCCAACTGGTGATTGTTGGCATATTTTTAAAGAGAGATTTTCTCCTGGAAACATGATGTGTTCTTAAATATTTAAAGTATCTAACCATAGAATCTTAGAATAGCAAAGGTGGAAGGACCTTAGAGATCGTCTAGGTCAACTCCTTCATCTTACGGATGAGGAAACTGAGGCCCAGAGAAGTTTAGTGACTTAGTGGAAGGTTACACAGGTAGCTGGTAAAGCCAGGATTAGAGCTCTGGCCTCATGCCTTCATGTCCAGTGGTCTGAGCAAGATGAAAGCTGACCTCCAAGTATTCTCCACGTCTTTGAAAGACAGAACAGTGGGCTTAGTTTGAGTTGCAACCATGTATGGAAGGTCAATGAAAAACTAAATTGTGCAGTAGTCAAGGTTGCTGTAGGGTGGCTCAGTGGATAGATCCGGGTCTGGAGTCAGGAAGACCTGAGTTCAAATCCAGCCTGACACACTTCCTAGCTGTGTGACTGGGCAAGTTACGTAACTTCTGTTTGCCTTCATCCATTGGAGAAGGAAATGGCAAACCAGTCCAGTGTCTTTGCCGAGAACACACGAAGAACAGCATTGGCTGCTGTGATCCCCCGGGTTACAAAGAGTTGGACGTGACAGAGGCTGCTGAGTCCTTCTGTGGGGCTCCTGGAGGTTGGTGTCAGACGACAGCTTTGTCACTGTTGTTGCCCCAAATGCTTCTTGGTAGATCGACCTTCTGTAGGGGTTTGGAAGACCAACCTGGGCTGCATGTGGGTATTCTCAAAGGTGCCCAGGTCTGAGGTCTGTATACCTGTATACGGGTCTGTGAGATCCTTAAGGTTTCCTTAAGGTTTCTAGGACAAGAAGGGCTTTGCCACATTTTCTTTCTAATGACAATACCTTTCAGGTGGGATGGAGGCATTCCTGTACCCATCGGTGTGCTCTGTCGTGCTGTTTGTGAGAAGCTGGGAAAAAAGAAATCGGCCTGCTAGCGGTGGAAACAAGGAGACCTTGGCCCCCCTCTCTGTCCCTTTTTCTCAAAGTGGTTTTCTCTCTTTAAAAACAACAGTCCCCATTACTAGGGTCTGAAACTCATTGGGCTTTTGAAATGATATTTAATGATAAGTGAAGTTAATGGGAGAGTGATTGTGGCATTAATATTCATAGAATCCCGGAATGAGAATAATTATTCCATTCAAATGGAGCCTGAGCAGGGGGTCTGATCTTCTGACATGCCGTGTGTGTGTGTGTGTGTGTGTGTGTGTGTGTGTGTGTGTGTGTGTGTGTGTGTATGTGTCTCCCCCCTCACCCCTCCTTCTCTCTCCCTCCCTCTCTTTCTATGTGTCTCTCTCCCCACACTCTCCCCTCTCTACCTGCTTGCCCCTCTCCTTCCTCTGTCTCTCTTTCTCATCCGATCCCTGTTCTCCTGCTCCTTCTCTGCTGTTCTTCATTCTCTGCCATTCTCCCAACCCATTCTCCAGTTTTCCACTGTTCTCTGTGTTGCCTCTTTCTCCCACTCTCTTCACCTGTTCTCCCCACCTTTTCTCCTGCCCCATCATGGCCCTGTCTCCCCGCCGTCCTGGTCCAGTTTTCCCACCCCGCCCCTTCCACTTCTTTCTCAGCTGTTCTCCCAGCCCATCACCTGCCCCATTCTCTGCTCCTTCCTCTCCTGCCTGGTCCTCCAACTCTAACCCTAACCTAAAATTCATGCCTCTGATTCTAACCCTAAATTCGTTTTAAACCTTAACCCCCATTGACTCCAACTCTAACCCTAACCTTGAGTGAATGCCTCTGGTTCTCTTCAGTTGTCTCTTACCCCCTGTCTCTGGCACCACCCCCCCTTCCGGCACCCCACCTCCTTCCGCCACCACATCAGCTTTCAAAAGACTGGTGATCATTTTGAGAACCGTGAAGACTTTATTGAGTTTCCTTCCCTTTCCAAGTTCTCAGCTTGCCCTCAGGGTGTAGGCTGGACCTGTCCCCTGTGAATGGATGCCCTGTCGTGCCAGGCCCATTTCAATGGCACTGACAAGCTTCCTGGACCGGGTCTGGCATTTCCTCCTGTGAAAGATACAGCTCCCCAAGCACTAGGTGGTTCTGTGCCAATTGGAAGGAGATGCCTTAGAGACTCTCGGGGTATCAAAGGAATCTGGGAACGGTTAGGGCCTTTGTCTCTAGGCAGCTTGACCCACCAGAACAGAAGCTCCTTGAGGGCCAGCACTGTTTGGTTTTTTGTCTTTGTAGCCCCACTGCCTAGAATGGTGCCTGGCTCTTAGTAGGTGCTTGGTAAATCAGACCGGAGCACCGGCCTGATCATCCCAACCTGCCATTCTCTCTCTGACTTGAATACTGAGGAGCCTACTGGGAGAGCGTGGTCAGTGAGCCCCAAGAGCTTCAGGAGCCAGCCGTGGAAACTCCAACGCCTCTAACTCACCTTTACTAGCTTCCTTTGGCTCTGTCACATGAGTTTTTCTTGCCTCTTTTCTTAAAGCTTTCCAAGAGCAGGCAGAGATGCATTTTGGCGTAGTGGGAGGACTACAAGACCCCATCCTGCCATGATCTACCTTCACGCTTAGGCAGCCTCCTTTTCCTCATCTGTAAAATGGGAATGATGCCCGGCCTGCCTACCTACCTATCTCACAGTGCCCATTTCAAGGGCACTGACAAGCTTCCTGGACCTGGTCTGGCATTTCCTCCTGTGAAAGATATAGCTCCCCAAGCACTAGGTGGTCCTGTGCCAATTGGAAGGAGATGCCTTAGAGACTCTCGGGGTATCAAAGGAATCTGGGAACTGTTAGGTCCTTTGTCTCTAGGCAGCTTGACCCACCAGAACAGAAGCTCCTTGAAATTGTGTATGTGTGGAAGCGTTGTGCGGCTATAAAGCGTACTCCAGTCTGCCATTCCAGTAAAATGGGAAATTCAGAATATCCAGGATGATTCAGTTCCACCAACAGCTGCGACACATCCCTATCTTCAGAGGGCTCTGCTAGGCCTTGGTTAATAAGGGACATTCCTTCTGTCTCCTAAGAAGGCTGTTCTGAAGCTCAAGCTGCTCACAGTCACTGGAATTGAAACTAACCCTAGGATTTGTCTTTGCATAGAGTGGAGGTGCTACCCCCAGGCCGGGTCACTCTTGGGGCCCAGTGCCTGCTTTTGTCGGAGGGATCCAGGAGGCCCGAGGAGGGGTAGGTCTGCTTCAGGCTGGTGTTCAGGCTGGAGCCAGCGATGCCCTTTGAATGCGGTCACCCAACTCTGAGCTCTGGCTTCTCCCTAGAGCATGGCTGTCCCGAAGAGCCCTTGCCTTCTACTTTGAAACCGTGAAGACTTTATTGAATCTCTGCAAGTTTCCTTTCCTTCCCTTTCCAGGTTCTTAGCTCAGCCTCAGCCTCACTTGCCCTGTGAGGAGATGCTCTGTAGTATCAGGCCCGTTTTAGGGGCACTTAGAAGCTAATGCCAAGAATGGTCTAGGTTGTTCAGCTGTTTGCTTAGAAAGCGCAGAACCGAGGCAGGGTGAACGACTCTGGTGGCGAGACACCATAGACGTAGGCGGCATCATTCCCGAGTCTAGCGTCTGCCTTTCAGAGGGGGGGTCATCGGTGCTATTTTACGCATAAGGAAGCAGAAGTTTAGAGAGGCCAAGTGACTTTCCCAGTTACTCGTTGTCTAGTAAGTCTGAGAGTTGGAACTCCATCACTGACTGTTCAGTTTGTCTTTGAATCCTGCCTCCTCAGGGCTCCTCAGGTCCTGTGCCTTGGGCCGAGTCACTGAGCATTCCTGGCCTCCGTGTTCCCAAGGTGCCATCGAGCCTAGCCTTCTCCCCAGTCAGCGTTTCTCTCACTACACACGCCACTTTTCTTTTAAACTTTTTTTGGTCAGTTCCTTTTTTAAACTTAAATTTTCTTTTGTTTAACAAGTATTTATTTTCTTACATTGCTGCCAATTCCATGATTCCTCCAGTAACCCCACCCCCAGCACAGAGAACTCTCCTTGACAACCAATCAATCAATTCACAAGCGTTTAAGTGGCAGCCGCCTTCCAGGCACTGGACAAAAATGAAACTCCCTGCCTTTGAGGAACTTCCAATCTACGGGGGAGGCGCAGAATATGTGCAAAGTAAATAAGACGATTTGGAGGGGCTGGGCACTAGACCCAAATGCTCCAGCTGAGTTTGGAAGCAGACAAAAGACTCTAAGTGATGAGGTGAGGAGGGGGCCTGGAGATCATGGAGGTGAAGACGTAGAGATGGGAGATGGAAGACTGTCCTGAATGGGGAACAGCCGGAAGACAGGTTTGGCCAACTCACAAAGTGCAGGAAGGGAAATACATATAATACCTTGGGAAAGATAGGTTGGGATCAGAGTATGAAGGGCTGTGAGTGCCCAGCAGAAGTGTTTCTCTTTGATTCTAGGGGGTAATAGGGAGCCACTGGAGTTTATTGAGAAGGAGAGTGACAGTCATATCTGTGCTTTAGGAAAATCACTTTGACCGCAGTGTGGAGGATGGCTTGTAGAGAGGCTGGGAGGCTGAGCGAAACAAGGCCAGCAGTGCTTTAGTTCTGTCTGATGATGTCCCTTGACTCCTTCTTCACTGGGAGGAGGGAGGCGGGAGGCGTGTTTTCCCCGCAGTCTTCCGAAGCCAGGCTCGGTCACTGAGCTTGTTACTCAGCAGTGTTTGTGCACTTCCCTCTTCTTCCGTCTTCGATCTCCTTAGGATACGTGCCCAGCCGATGTATCGCTAGGTCAAAGGGCAGGTATGGGCTAGTGATTGTCTTCATAGAGCTTTACGACCAGTGCACAGATCTCCCAGCAGTCCCCGGTGCGCCTGGCCTCCCAGAGCCCCTCTGACACTTCCTTTCTTTGTCTTCTGTCCTCTCTGGGCATCTAACAATGGGCAGCAGGTGGAGCCTCAGTTGTTTTATTGGCATTTCTCTTCTTAGTGACTTGGAGTTTTCTGTAAATGGCTGTTGAGTTGGTCCGTCTCCTTTGGAAAGCTGTTCCTGCCCTCTGTCCATCTAGTGTGGCCTGCCTCTTGTTCTTTTGTTCTAATTCTCTGTATCTTGGATTTCAGATCTTTATCAGAGATCTTTATTTTTTCTCAGTACATCGATTTTTGTTCATGTAACAGCTTTTTTATTTTATGTCATCAAAAATGTCTACGATCAGTTCCAGTTGTGAAAGATGCATCCTTCCATTCTCTTCTTTATGCAGTGACCTTTTATATTTAGATAGCCTAAGAGGTTTCTAACTATTTTATTCTAAATTACTTTCTAGTTTTCCCACAGCTCTTGTTGAACAAGGAGTCCTTACTCTACTCATCTTTCTCATTGTCTTTCCAAAGTAACTCCTTTGCTTCTTGAGGGATGATTCCCAGGCACCAGGAATATAGTTGCTACCTCCTTTTTGCTGATAGCTTCCATCGTACCCCTCCGAGGCAGCCATTTCACACCAGATGTGGTCATTCTTGTTGATAAGAGCTATGTTATTCCACTTTTCAGGTCTGAAGGCAGTGATGAGCAATGCGCTTCAGAGAAGCCCCCCAGCTGCTGTAGCTTGAAGCCTTTCTGTGACGCCGGGCACCTGAGAAGATGGCTTCGTACCCCAGCCCCATAGTGGTGGCTGTGTGGGAGTGGCAGGATGAGGTTGGCACCTGGCACCCCTACAGTGCCACTGTGTGTAGCTATATCGAACAGCAGTTCATGACTCAGAAGGGCCAGCGATATGGATTGGGCAGCTTGGCCAATAGCATTCCCTTGGGCCAAGCTGACCCCACACTGGCACCCTACATCATCGATCTCCCCAGCTGGACCCAGTTTCGTCAAGACACAGGTGAGATGACATTTGCTCTTGGTTCCATGGGCTGGGGGAGTTGGAAAGAAGCCAGGAACATCCCTCATTCCTAAAATGCTCGGATTTTCAAGGCTTTGGAATGACAGAGACACAACTAACTGTCCAATGGCTTGACATTGAGTAACATAGTGAAAGAGCTTTGTCTAAATGGTTCAAAAGGCTTAGGATGTCTGACAGGGCCCTAAGAAGTCAGGCAGCCAGGCCTGAATGGCCCATAGGGGACGCCTAGGGAACGCTTGTTCTTTTAGCCGAGTCAAGAGGCTGCAGGCTGATTTCTGACCGGAAGACCGAGAGAAGAGTGAGCATCCTTTGGAAAATACACTTGGGTGGCGCAGCTTGTCTTTCTGGCTTCCCTGTATCAAACACTAGTATAGGGCAAGATCGAGTAAGCTGTGTTCACATTTTCCCGCTCTTTCCTTCCCCCAACACTTGCTTTCTCTCCCTCCCCACTCTTTCCCTCTCCTTCTTCTTCCCTTCCTCTCTCCCTCTCCTCTTTCTCCCTCTCCTTCTTCTTCCCTTCCTCTCTCCCTCTCCCCCCTTCCTCTTTGCCTCTCCTTCTTCTTCCCTCCCTCTCTCCCCCCCTCTCCCCTTCCTCTTTCCCTCTCCTTCTTCTTCCCTTCCTCTCTCCCTCTCCCCCTTCCTCTTTCCCTCTTCTTCTTCCCTTCCTCTCTCCCTCTCCCCCCTTCCTCTTTCTCCCTCTCCTTCTTCCCCCTTCTTCTTTCCTTCTTTTTCCTTTCTCTCCACCCCCCCCCCGCCAACGCCCTCTCAGTGGTGGCCTCAGAAGATAGTTGGTTTTACTGAACTGTCCGCCTGCTGGGGCCCCAGCTCGGTGGGCAGTTTTTAGTGGTTTCAAATTTTGTTTTTATTCAAGACCTGGATATTTTTAGGCAGGCAGAACTCTCAGAACCAAAATTGCAGGAATTCAGCCTCAAGACCAAAGACTTCTGAGAGCATTTTAAAAAAAAAAATTTTTTTTTTCTGAGAGCATTTTTCAGTCAGAGCCTAGAGCTTGTCACCAGGCATTCTAATTCGTTGGGCCATCTGGTTCATTCTGCTGTCCAGTGTAGTTAGAGACACTTTCACGCACCACGTGTGAGCCAAGAATCAGCCACGAGTGGACTCTAGTGGAGCCTGGAAATTACATCCACCCCTGGCAGACACTGGGCTCTTCCTCTGTTTATCCTTTTCTCCCAGTTCCTCAGTCTTTCCCTTTCCCTCACTGGATGACTGATCCTGTGTTTATTCACTTAACAGAATTCTTTATTGAGCACCTACTGTGTGCATATTATTTTGCTGTGTACAGTGGAGGATGCAGGAAAGCCCCTGTCTTTATTGGACTTCATAATCTGTGGGGAGGTGAAAGCTAAAGTTTGTCTGGTGCTAAAGGTTAGGAGCTCTTGGAGGTGGGTGGTGGTAATGTTATCCCTCTTCGACAGATGAGGAATTTGAGGCACAGGCTACATTTCTGAGCCTTCCCCTTGGAACTTCCTCATGTGGGGCTAGGTCAGGCCTGTTGCTGCTGAACAGAGGCTGCAGAGAAACCTCCAATCCCTTCTTGCTGGGATTAGAACATAAGAGAATTCTCCCCAGAGGGCAGCATCTGCTCTGCCCTGACTCCATTCGGGTCTCTCGAAAGGAAACACTGTGAATAACAGGAAACCGTGTTTTCAGCTGTGCAAGCCCCATCTCTAAAGACCAGTGACAGCTGCAGACGGAGCTGGCGCTCCAAGGCCATGGCCAAATGAACTGGAAGGAGCTAGCGGGGGGGGGGGGGGGGGGGGGGTCTGCCGAGTTATCTGGTCCTCCCTCCCTTGATTGGTTGACAGATTATCGATCCTTGCAGCCCTTTCGGGGTCCAGCAGGTTTCTTTTCCCCCTGACTCTCCCCCTTTTGAGGGAGCTCACATTTTGGTTGGTGGTGTACGTGAACAAGCCTTGAGGATTCTTGCCAGACTTGCCTGTTCCCAGCTTAGTCCCCCCCACACAGAGTTTCTTCCAAAGGTCTCTGATGCATGTGGTCTTGCCCTCCACAGCATTGACTCCCTCCCAGGGACGAGAGAGACTTTGGCTCTGGCTGGGTGGTAGACCTGCCCTGCAGCCTTACTGTGTGGCCTGTGTTCTAGGGTCTGAAGCCCTTGTGAGCCAATGCTTAGGTTTTCCCTGTCCCCCCTTCACTTTTATGGGCCTCTATCCATGTTCTCACAGCCACCCTGGCACTCCAGAAAGCACCCCACGTTGTTCATGACTCCCTTTTTTTTACCCTAATGACCCTGCACGGGGCTTGTCCTGGGCTTGCCATTCTGGCTTGTGTGAGGTGCCTGATACAGTACTTCCCCAGTTGTTTTCACTTTCTTCTTCCTAGAGGAGAGACTGTCTCTGAGCTATGTCAAAGCTACCCTTTATCTATGGATTTAATAGACACTTACCCAGAGCCACTGTAGACAGGGCTGTACAGCCATATGCCCTCTCCCTGACTAGTTCAGATGAAATGAAAAACATTTCAAAAATGAATACTTTATATCATACCTAGAACATGACAGAGAGTCCCAAGAATGAGGCCCTAGAAATGGGCTGTGGTAGTTCCTTTGGATCGTGTTTTAAATTTGGGGGTGTCTCAAGGGATAGTGGATATTTCTTTCCCTTTGGGGATGGTTACTCAGCTAAGTTCAGTAAATTTGCCAGCCTTCATTCTCTTACCTAATGGATCAAGGGCGCAGCCTCTAATGCAGCCTTCTATGGCTCTAAGATTCCCTTTGATGTTGAATCTGAATGATCACAGTGGGGAAAGAATGGTGAATTGGGAGGCAGTATTCTGAGGCCCTCCAGCTATGGCAGGGGGATGAAAAGTGTTAATGGACAGCTTCTTTCCAGGGCTTTTTTTATTCTATTGCATCTCTCTCTTGCCAACACCCTCATTTTCAGAAGACCTGGCATCATTCTGAATGGCTAGAGTGGAAAGCAGTGTTGACAGAGAGGTGAAGCTCTGTCGGGATAGGTCAGGTGAGAAGGGCTAGTAAGGCCTAAGTCTGGCCTGTCTGGCTGCCTTTACCTGTTTTCAAGTAGCGATTGATGTAAGACAGTAGGGGTTTTCTGAGTGACACGAGCTGTTCTTGAGAGGCAGCCTTCAGCTGGGTAGAGAGGGACTTTTGTGAAGTCCTTGGAGATCTTGGAAGTTGACTTTAAAGAATCATGGATGTTCAGTGTCAGAACTGAAAAAACCATTAAAGATCATCTCTCCTACCTCTTTGTTTCACAAATGAAGGCCCAGAGGTGTACTGAGGGTGTTTAAGGCACTGTGGGATGGTTGGTGGAGCCTCAGCTTTGGGGTCCCAGGACCTGGGTTTGAAGCCTGGCTCTGCCACCTAGGACCAAGGTGACTTCACCTTCCTGGGCCCCACTTGGTATCTTCATTTCTGAATTGGAGTTTTACTCCTTCCAGAGATGGGAAGAACTGTTTTCCCAGTTTGAGACAGTGATGTCAGTAAGTAAGATTCAAGGCCACCAAAATCCAGAAGAAAAAATAGTAATTTGTATTTTGCCCTGCCCACCTCTCATCCTGGTCTAGATTGCCCCCATAAGTACCATCCGTTTCCTCCCCTTTATCTCTCTAGCCTTACCTTTGCTCCCAGAATAACCCCCAAGGTATGTGCATAGGAATTCCTTCCTGCCCATCTCAGAAGGACCATGCCTGGGCTAAGCCTGTTTCCTTTGCCGGGGGGCGGGGGGAGATGCCTGTGTCTAGCCTAGGCACCCCCCCTGCCCCTGTTTGAGGAGCTCCTCCACGACACGCGGTGGGGAATCGTGTAGAACATCCAGTGATGGATCTCCTTTTTTCACTTCATCCTTAAGTGTGACTTATTAAAAAAAGAACGGCGGTCTGTAACGCCAGCCGTTATTGCCAGCCGTGGCTGACCCCTGAAACCGTCTCGTCACCCCTGTGTACAATTTCTTCTGAAACAGGGACCATGCGTTCAGTGCGACGCCATCTGTACCCTCAGCAGTCTGCCGCGGGGAGGGGCATCGTCTGGGAGTGGCTGAATGACGACGGGGCTTGGGCGGCCTATGAGATGAACGTCTGCGAGTACCTGGAGCAGCAGCTGGCCAGGGGGGCCCAGCTCATCGACCTGTCCCCTCTGGGCTACAGCTACGAAGTGGACTGCGGCACCTACACTCAGGTCAACAAGGTGTCACGTTATCGCCGCCGCGTGCAGCGGCGCCAGGGCCCCACGTACCCTGTGACGGCCGTCATCGCCGTGCCCGGCCACGTGGGGACGGGTTGCTCGTGCCATCAGTGCCTCGCAAACAGTGGGTCTGGCCCCGTCAGCAGCCGCTACCGACACTCTGTGACGAGCCTCCCTACGCACGTAGCGCCCCAGCCGGCCCACCGGACTGCCCCTGCAGGGGTCTACACAGCCTACGCGCCCTACAGCAAGCCTTCCTTGTCTGGGGCCAGGTCTGCTCCGAGGCTCAACGCTTCCAACCCCTGGAGCATGGTGGCCCCGGTCATGGGAGTGGTCCCCGTCTACCCATCCAGCCTTCCGCACCTAGCACCTCAGCGCCCACCCCCGGGACCTGCTCCAGCTCAAATCAGGTATTTCATTTTATCACTTGTCCATTCTCTATCGCCCATCAGCTGTCTTGGGAGGCTTAGCCCTGTGCCAGAACACTTTAGGTAATGGGCGCTGCATTTGCCGCTAGCATCTGCACCCGAGGAGCCTTTCTCTGCCGCTCGTGTCCCCTTTCTGTAAAATGAGGGGTCCCTGGACCCTGATGGTCCTGCCCTGGCCACCCAGGCTGCTGGCTCCGCTGTTCAGTCCCTTGTCCTGACCCGGGGGGGCAAGGGGAATTCTGCCTTTCTTAAGTGCCTGGCACGATGCCTGCTCACACCTGGCAGGTGCGTGGTAAGTGCTTGCCAGGTTGGAGTCTGACCAGTTGTTTGGGATCTTGGGAGAGAGAGCGGAAGCCAGGCTTTTGCCATACCTAGCTACACTTGTGTAGAAGGAGAGCTTTTTCTGGGCCCAGCCCACGCAGAAGATTCTCAAGTCTGCTTCCCTCCTACCCTTGGGCTGGCTGGGGAGATAGAAGGGATAGGTGGGAGACAAGTTTGCATCTTGGCCCAAGTGTAGGCCCTGGAGAGTTAGCAAACACCATAGGAGCTAAGGGTATGTCAGTCGAAGAAGGCTCCTGTGCACTTCCTAAGGTGCCTTCAGAGAAGCGTTGTGTTCAGGCCCAGCAAGGTCAGAGGCCTGCTCTGGGTCCCCTGAGCTGATCAGACCCCATTTGGAGGGTTTCTGTTCTGTTCTGGGTACTGAGTGTGACAGGCTGGACAGTATCAAGAAGAGACTGGCCAGCACCATGAACGGTCTTGGGGTCATGCCAGGTCAGAGGGGTCAGTCGAAGGAAGCGGGGCGCATTAGCCTCAAGAGAAGATGACTTTGAGGTGCATGTGACAGCTGACTTCCTGTGCTTAAAGGGCTGTCATGTGGAAGAGGGTCCAGAAGGCAGTGGGGAGGCAGTGCAAGGAGGGAGGTTTTGGTGGTGAGGCACAATGGGTAGTGCCCTGGACTTGGAGTCAGGGATTAGCAGTGCTTGAATCCTTTCTCAGATTCTTCTTAGCCCAGTGACCCTGGGCACCTAGGTCACTTAACCTCTGGCTGCCTCAGTTTCCTCTTTTGTAAGATGGGGATAAGAATAACACCTACTGGATAGAGCACCAGCCCTGGAGTCAGGAGGACCTGAGTTCAAATCCGGCCTCGGGCACATGACACTCACTAGATGTGTGACTCTGGGCAAGTCACTTAACCCCAATTGCCTCACCAGAAAAAAAAAATAGTCCCTGCTTCTCAGGGTTGTTATGAAGATCAGATGAGATATGTAACCTTAAAGTGCTGGTAAATATTAGCTATTGATTATCATCATCATTATTGTTGTTGTTATTATTTACTTAAAAATTATATAGAGTTACAGGTGTGCAAAGGCTAATGGCTTACCTGAAGTGGATTGTAGGTTCTCTCTCACTTTAGAGACCTTCCAAGGTTGAATGACTATTTCTCAAGAATGTTGTAGAAAGGATTTTCAGGACAACATTAGATGAATTCTGACTTCCCATTTCGAGAGTCTGTGGCATTCACTGGGAAATATTATTGGGCTGCATTCTGGATTTATTATAGGCTAGATTGTGTGGGGGGAGGGTCGGAGAAGTGCGGTCTGTCTTCAGAGTACGATGACCTGCCAAACCCCATGGTACTGCCTCAGTGCAGTTAGAGGGGGAGGGAGAAGGGGCGGTGAGAGAAGAGGCTTCTCCCTGAGAAGGCGTGGGATTGGAGGGACCTGGGAGAGGGTCGGCAGCACCGTCTTTGTGGCATGGACCCTTTGGCAGCAGGCTAGTGAAGCCTCTGGGTGAACTTCACAGGGTCATGTTTGTAAAATACAGAGGATTACAGAGGAAGCCAATTTTTTGAAATAGAGCATCAAAATATTTTTAAAAATAAATTCACAGAGCCCAGGTTAAGAACTCCTGATTTAGAGGAATGAAGAGGGGAGAGTGGCTGACATTCTACCTAATGAAAATAGCAAAACAAAGGCCAAGGAGGTAGGAATAAACATGGTGCCAGGAGCCAATGAAGCGACTTGTACAGCTGGTAGAAGTGGTTGGTTTTAGGGTAGATAAGGTTGAGAAAGGAGCATGGAGCCAGATTTTTGTTCATTGCTATTTCCCAGTTTTCCCTCTTAAAACAAACAAAAGGACCCCTTTTATGTCATGAAGAAAAATAAGCCAACCAGCTGATAGCAGCGATGCCTATAGTTTCCTACCTCTCTGGAGAACAGGATGGTGTTTCTTATCCATTCTCTGGAGCCAGTACTGACCATTGCCTGTCATCTGAGTTTGGCCATCTTCTGATACCTTCCTTTACAGGACTGTAGCCTTTGCCCTGTTCTCCTGGCCCTGCTTTCTTTGCTCTGCATCAGTTCATACAAGTCTTCCTGTGCTTCTCTGAATTCCTCATTTGCAGCAGTCCTCGTCCATTATGTTCATAGACCACAGTTTGTTTGCAAGTCATTGGTCACCTACTTTCTTTCCAATTTATTTGCTACCATGAGAATTTCTAAGGAGCGTTTGGGTGTATATATGCCTTTTCTGTTTTTGGGCAACTTGGAGTACTTATCCAGTGGTGGGATCGCTGTGTCAGAGTATGACTGACTGAATGAATAAAAAGCATTCACTAACGCTCACTCTGGGCTAAGCACTCTGCACAGCCCTGGTGGTACAAATAGGAAAAGCCAGACCGCTCCTGCTTTCAAAGAGCCCGCACTCTAATCCATAGAAGAGTTCAGTTGTCAAGAAGATGGAAAGATTCTGACCTCCTGAGGGTGCAGGGGTGGGGCAGTTGGCAAGGCTTTGGGGTCCGCGGAGGAGGACTGGCTTGGTAACATTACCTTTGTGGTTCTGGAATGGTTAAACCAATTCTTGGCTCTGCCGATGGTGCATTCCTGTGCTGTCTTTCCATGGGGCCAGGTTCAGAGGACCCCGAAAGATGAGCAGAGGAAGGTGGGCTTGTGACCTGAGCCGAGGCAGGCTCTTGAGCTGGGAAGCCATCTGATGACTGTTTGGGGAAGCTTCCTCTGGCTCCCGTGCAGAATAGATGGAGGGGAGATGAGATGGGAAGTAGGATAGACCAGCACGGAAGACCTGGCGATTGTAATCCAGGTGTGAGGTGATGGTGTCCTTCAGCAATATTGTTCAAAGAAAAGAACACTCTGTAGCACAGTTAGACCCCTGAGTTCTTGCCCTGGTCCAGGCCTTCCTAGCCATGGAATTCTGGAATTCATGGAATTCATGGAATCATTTCACAACTCAATCTATTTCCACATGAATAAGACAGTGATCATGCCTGTCTTTCCCATCTCACAGAGCCATTAGGAGACCGAATAAGGTAATAAATAATACCACAGTGTAAAAAACTCTCCAAAGCATGGTTAGTGCAAGGGTCAGACAGGACTTTGGGGGATGTTGGGTAGAAAAGATGAAGAAGGCATTTAAGGGGACCTGCAGAAAGGGGAAAGAAGGTCACGGGGTATTGGAGGAGCCAGCATCAGCATTTGTCCAAACCCCTCAGCATTTCTGTTCCTTCTCCAGAGTCACACAGCTCTTCATATGTGATACAGAGGTGCTATTACTATACCTTCTTTTTCAGATGAGGAAAGTGTGAGAAAGCTTTTCCTAGTCAACACAGCTAGTAAGTGTCTGAGGTTGGATTTGAACTCAGATCTTCCTGACTCCAGTTCTAGTACTCTACCCACTGTGCCACCCAGCAGCACCTCCCCCCCAGCCACACACACAAAGGGGGTCTGTCCGTTGGGAGGCTGAGACCGGCCCGAAGGGTTGTTAGACTGCTCCCCACCATGCTGGTGAGGGGCTCGCCTTGGATGCCTGCGTAACCTTTGGGTGGACGAGTGTCAATCCCTGTGAAACCATTTGTAATTCTCTGCTGAGACCTTCTGAATACTGTAATACAGAGCTGGAGTATACCTTAACCCATCTCCCTTGGGTGGCCCTGGCTCTGAATGGCAGAGCAGAGGTTAGCAAACAGTGGCCTGCAGCAAAGAAGTAACATTGGGCAGCCGTCATGCCTGCGTGTGTCTGCCTCTGAAGAGAGGAGCCCCTGGCTCAAGGTGTGATGTACAGGATCAGAGAGTTCTTGGTGGCTCTCAGTTCTCACTTGAGCCCTGTAAAGTTGCCTTGAGAGACTTCACGGCTCTTGCCCTGTCCACATTGCATGGTTTCTCCAGGCCACGGGAGGCTCTGAATGCTTCCTTCAGCGCGTGCTGAGAAGGCTGGCCGCTCGCAGGCCTTGCTGGCGGGTGAAGCTCTATACAGACCTGTTACTTGATGTTCAGACCCCTGTGACAGGGTTAATCCAGTACTTATCCTTCCATTGCCCTGGCCTCGCAGGACCCGTTAGTCTCTGAGGGAAACCAAGACAGACCACCGTAGGGACGGTCTGTCTTGTCAGGTGCATGTGTGGTGGAGGTGGGGCCAGGGGCAGTGTGGATGGGGACCACTCCCAAAGGCAGTGGGGGAGTACAAGGCCAGAGAGTTGGGGTCAGGCGCAGGCGGGCCTGGCCTTCCAAGACCTCGGAGACCACAGGTGCGGTTTCCTCTTTGGAACCAAATTGGAATTCCTGCCCATTTTCCCTCTTAACTAAATCAGTTACTCCAGCTAGACAGTGTAGTTGACTAAGAAGGAATTTGAATTGAATTGTCTAGTAAGGTTAGAGTGAGGTTAGGGCTGCTGTATCTAAGCCTTTCATGCCCTTAAATAACTGGACCTTTCTTGTCATGAGCAGAAGCAGGCTGATTTCATTGGCTGGGAAGCTCAGTAAAACTCGCCATGATCTCCCGCTTGTGGGCATGTGCAGGTTGCAGAAAAGCAGGACCTCACCTGAGAAACGATTCTTGTGGCTGGGGCCCGGGCCTCCCTTCAGTGTTCCTGCTGACTCTTCTCTGCCAGTTTCTCCTTGCTGGGGCCAGAGGCGGACCAGATTATTTCAGGTCGTCTTGCCTGGCCCTCCCAGACAGAAGAGTCACAT